TTCAGAGTGGTTGCCAGTCGCTAAGAATCATTAAGCCCAAGATAGATAAATACAATAAATGGTAAAAGAGAGGATTAAGCAAGTTTTAATCCATACAAAGGTTTGAAATAATCCTAGAACAAGTGGTTTAGCTACTCATAATTGAGAAAGAACAAGAAATTTACAGAGTCCCCATGTCCATATCAAAAAGTAAGAAAGAAAAGGGAAGGAAGTTCAGAAAAACCAACAAAAGAAGCTTGAATCTCTTCAATCTTCGAATCTCAAGGTTTAAGATCTTCAATAATCTCAAAATCTAACTCCAGTTTGCTCCAAAAATGTGTTTCCAGTCGCTCCCTTCATTTCTCAATTGAAGACGGCATCCAAAATGCTAATAATCGGGTCCTACAGGTCTTCTTATGATAGAAAATACAAACTTTGCGTTTTGGGTTTCGTTAGGGTGTTGTGGCACTCCTATCACAGTGTTGTAACATCAGAAGCATTGTATTTTCTCTGCACAAAGGGCAATGGCACTTATGCTTTGGTGTATGTGACACCAATGACATTTTTTTTTTTTGAAGAAGAGTAGCACCTCGCACATATGCTTTTGTATCAATGAATTTTCTCAACTTGACTTCCTTGTTCATCAACTCCATTCTTGCTTGCTTATAATGTTCATATGCACCTGGCAATAGCAAGCACTTGTGAGTGAAAAAATTGTAAGATTCAATCATTACCAATTTTACATCATTTTCTTATTAATATTCACCTTATACTTATATGATATCTTTGATAAAAAATTTTCTTTGCCAATTTATAAAAATATTTTTACTTTTACTTTTATAACTCTCCAAATATATTCAAAATAGAATTTTAAATCAGTAAGATTTGGGGAATCAACAAGAATTTATGCAAATATATGCAGAATAAGTTGTAAACTTTTAATTTTGATTTGTAAGTATTAGTATTATATGCCAAAGAATGTTGCAAATAAAATTTTTACAAGTAGTCCTCCAGTTTTATTCACGAGTCAAACTTAAAAATATACAACTTATCATTTGTAATTTTATTGCTATTTGTTTTATGTTCACTGAAGATTTAATTAACTAATTTGGTTTTCTGGGCAAGAAAGTTATTGTGGTTAGATGCACAAAGAGCTGATGCGTCTCATTATAAGACTCCTCGTTATATTGACCAATCCTATATTTATTATTTCCAATTCTCAGAATTATAATGTTTTGAAAGTTAGGAAGAGATGCCTGGTGCCATGCATGCCCAAAACGAGGGAAAATATTATTAATAATGCATTTAGGAATCATGGGCGAGCTGGGAAGATACTTATCTAAAAATAAAATCTTCCAATACAGATTGGATAGCATAAACGTCTAGCCCTTCAAGTTTAATTATATCTCCCAATTTATTCTTATCTCTAACTTTATTAAGTTATATTTAACATTTTAAACCTTGATTTTATTTACTTTCATTTTAATTATATATTACCCACCTCCTGCCCTTAATATAAGAGTTAGATAATTAATTTAAAAATATTAAGAGAATAAGTTAAGTTAATTACTTGTAATGAATATGTGTTGTCTTCTCTTAAATATTTTTATTAATTAATCATGTACATCAGAATAGATACCTATTAACATGTATAATCACTCTAAGAACTACTTTGAAAATAAATAAATAAATATGATAGAGAAAATAGATTAAAATTTTATATTTATGAACAAATTATATTTTTAACTAACTTTATATTATCTCTAGTTCTATTTATAAGACCTCGTTTATAAGTTACAAACAAGGTCTTCTAATTAAGACCAAAAGGAGTATTTAGGATAGGAGGTAGTATATTACATAAGGCACAAGCCAGTTTAATTAAAAAAAAAGATAATGAATAATTAATCCTACAGTTGTGTCTCCTTCGTGAGCTCACAAGGCTTCTTGGCTACATAAGTTGCGATGCTACGGTTCGTCGATGAATTGATCTTGATGTGTGACATATGAATTGATTTGATGTGTGACACATCTCAAAACACAATCCACATTCCTGCTCCAACTCGCCCCATTCGCATCTTATCTCAATGCATATTAAGTGGGCCCACATCGATGTGCTTGTAAGAATAAAGGGATTGATTATGCCGCACACATTGAATATTGGAAAAAAATTAAAAGAAGAAGAGCATGTTTTACCTTACTTTAAAAATTAACTATATAAACATTAACTCTCTGTTTGGATGAGAAAAAAGTTGAGAGAAAAAAAATAAAAGAAAAAAATTAAAAATAAAATATTATCACTTCTCATGTTTGGATGGATAAGAAAAAAAAAAAGAGTATATATTAATGATTAAAATATCCTTTCTGTTATATCAAAATATATCTTGATTAAAATCATCCTTTCTGTTATATCAAAATATATCTTGATTAAAATCAAATAAATATAATAATATGAAAAACCATTTTACATTAGCATAATCATATAATTTAAAATCAAATTATTTGATAAAATATATTGTCTGTTTTTTTTATTATATTTTATATCAAATAATTTTGTAAAAAAAGAAAAAAAATATTTTTTGTAATGTAATGCTAAAAAACTAGAATAACAATTTTACTTGTTTTTCCTTTCAGTTCATTTTAGAAGGATTTTTGTAATTTTAGTTATTTTATTTTTCAATCAAGCAAACACAGAAAAAAGACTTGATAATAAAAGAAAGTGAAAAAAATAAAAAAAATAGGTATTATTTTGCTAAAAAATATATATGTAAGGATAGAGAGGAAAAATATATTTTCTTCTCGTTTTCTCTTCATATATGGAGAGAACAGTTGGGAGGAAAATGAGTTGTGAAACTCACCTCATTTTCTTCCCAATTTTTTTTTCTCTCACTTTTTTTCCTCATCCAAATAAAGAAAAAACCACTTCATTCCCATTTTTCTTTCTAGTTTTTTTTTTCTCTCTCTCTATTTTCTCTCTCCATCCAAACATAACAAAAAGAGGATCGCATGGACAACGAAAGGTCTGAAACAAAGGCAACTGGCTTTTGATTTGATTGGGTTCTTCTAGAAATCATACCAGGACAAAACAAATCCGATTCATGCATATATGTGCATGCATGAACTTGATCTTTCAAGGATCTTTTTCTCATCATGGTAATTAGAAACTTTAATTCAAAGATAAATTAAAATCTTAAGCAATATATATCACATTCTTAATTGTTAAAGTAATCCACTTAGTGAACAAGGAATGATTCCAGTTCTTTTTTATAAATTCATTTCTTAGGACTAAATTGAAATTTGTTGCGTAAAATCTGTTACCATAAATATTTGATTTTGAACCCATAATAATTAACTTGGGTGTTCATAATTGTAAATCGACACAAATTAAGAAATTAATTAATTAATGTTGCTGTGCCCAGGCCAGAGAACTATACACATATAGTTCCTAATCGTGGCCTTCAACTATATATCAAAGGCTTTAACTCATATTTGCCTTTCTGGAATTAGATGCCAAACATCTCTCAACACCAACTGGATAAATTCATCTTTAAATTTATATTCCAAAGCAGCAGATGCCTCAAACATATATAGATCAGATAAGGAACAAACCAGAAACTGCACAATATTTTATTAGAAAGCTAAATTGTAACACGAAATAATATAAACCACATATACACACTATTACGTAGTCCTAATTATAAGACTTCATTTGTAGACTATAAACGAGATCTTATAATTAAGACCGGAGGTAGTATTACCAATTTACCATGATTTCAGGCGCATAGCCTCTCCATTGAGACACCCTCTCCATTTCCCTCCACTAACCCAAAACTACGTCGTTCCCCACCTCCCCACAAATCAACTTCTTGTAATTCTCCTCCACGTAGTCCAGCGATGCTGTTTTGCAGTGCCCTGATGTTAAATAAATGATAAAAACAACTCACTCAAACAAGAAAAATAAATCAGATATCTCTTTCTGTCTTCCTTCACACATAACGCAGTCCTTATATAGCCCCCGATGATTGCCTCTTTTTTGTTAAGACTACTCTATTTGTAGTCTGAAATTGTATAAATAACTCACGAGGCTTGTCATCGTTGCCGCAGTGGACCGTCCTTTCTATTCCTCCATTGCTGTTTCTTAGTCGATATATGCGAAGGAAGACTAGAAGAGATCTCTGATTTTTTTCCCTTGTTTGGGCGAGTGTCTTTTTTTTTTAAGCTCAGGCCACTGCAAAACTGGACCCAGTGGAGGGGAATACAAGAAGATGATTGGTGGAGAGGTGAGAAACGACGTAATTTTGCGTTAGTGGAGGGAAATGGAGAGAATGCCTAAGTGGAGAGGTTCCGCGCCGCCATGATTTCCAGATTAATTCCAAGTTCCTCAAATTTCCTTTTTTTGTATTATTCTGTGTATTCATTTCAGCGCAATTCAGATGCTCTTCGTAAGGGAAATATGAGAAAGAGAAATAAATTAAAGTATGTACTATTCTCACTCTTTCATGTTACTTTTTCTTAATTAGCTCCATGAGTTAATCTGATTATCGATCCCAATGCGAGCGAACTTGAAATATTCCAATAAAAATGAAAGGTTGTAGGATTGCAAACGAAAAAGAAAAAGCTAGCAGAAATTAACGTGACATAAAACATGATGATATCTCGTACGAAGAATCACATGCACAATAAAAGTTAAAACAAAAAAAGAGATCGAACAACGAAGTGACACACACACACACACTCTATATAATATGCAGGAGAATATTTTATATATATATATGTATATATGATCTAATTTGAATCCGCCGTACAAGCATACGTGTTTGTTTTCGTATGGCATGGATCGATTCGCTACTGTTGATTAGTCCTTTCAACAAATCATATGTCTAAAAGAAAAAAATTTAAAAAAAAACGATTGGTTTTTAAATATCTAAACCGAACATTCTCTCAAGCTCATCTCCACCTCAAACGTCATATCTTCTTCTTCTTCTTCTTCAGTCTTCCCTAAAGCTCCAAAAACCCTACCCCTCTTTCTCAAAACCCCTATATAAGCCTCTTCCGCTTACTTCACCCCTCATCTCCATAACACCCCACAAAACCCTAACAAGAACCTAAGTGCACTTTCTTCTCTTACTTCCCGCTTCAACATAATTTCAGCTCGATCCGAAGGCAACTTCTGATCAATCTGCATTATATTGTTGCCCCTTCTTCAACCTACCTATCAGATTATATATTTGGAAGCTGAAAGGCAGAAATGGAGAGTGTGAGGAACATGGCGTCAGAGAGACCAGTGGTGATCTTCAGTAAGAGCTCATGCTGCATGTGTCACACTATCAGGACCCTCTTTGCTGAGTTCGGAGTGAACCCTGCAGTTCATGAGCTGGACCAGATCCCAGCAGGGAGGGAGGTTGAGCAAGCCCTTTTGAGACTAGGGTGCAGCCCGGCCGTGCCGGCTGTGTTCATCGGCGGAGAGCTTGTTGGTGGGACCAATGAAGTAATGAGCCTTCACCTTAACCGATCCTTGATCCCAATGCTCAAGCGAGCAGGTGCTATTTGGGTTTGAAATATATCATGCAATAACCAATGCATATGCAATATGCGAGGACTATACTTATATAGAGCTTGTCTTATATATAAGGTAATAATTATAATAATTAAGGCTAACTTGACTGCGAGCCTTTTTTTGGCATTGTAATACGAAGTGTGGGTTCAGATATTTTGAGATTTCAAGCTAAAAATAATAGGTTATATAATATATATATATATATGGTTCATCAGCATTTTCGCAAGCCACTTCAGATTAATTTGATGATAATTACCCTCTAACCTCATAAAGAGAAGAGATCTAAGGGGGAAGCAAGTGTCTTTAGATAACTAACAAGAAATTAAGGGAAGGCGAAAACTGGAATTCATTCTAATTACTAATTAATATTATCTATATCCTTTTTGTTTTAATATGCATTACAACGACTCCTCGCTTTTTCTTTCCTTTTTAACTTTCATGACATAAAGCATAATATTCGCATATTTTGTATATTTTTGTGCGTTCAGTCGTAGTCATATGCATGCACCCTTGCTAGTTCTTTTCATTGGAAGACTACACAATTTGGGAACATATTATAGTGGGCATCTAATCCTTTATTCAACGTTTACGTGCCACAAACACGCTGATGAAATATAGCGATGTGCATGTGAAGAAGTGTTTCACCTAGGGGAAAATTATTCACCAGCAGAATAAGAAATTGAATGTGATATGAGGAAAATATTTCTATATTAGTTGTAAAATTTGATTAAACATATAATACTTTAGGTTCAAATATTTTATGAATAAGTTTAAATTGCGTGAAAGATTACAATTCTCATATCCCAAACATCGCATGAGAGTTTTCTTGTGCTACCTTTACGAGGCACTATAAAAAAGAAAAAAAAACCACTCGCTTCATCATATATATACATACATACATATATAAATATATATATCATTATCAACAACATACCAACATATATACTCCCTCCAATCCTAAATGTAATACATATTTTATAATGTAAATTGTACTATAAAATGAGTCTTATATTTAGGACTGAAAAAGTGTATATATAAGATAACAGCCCTACATTCTACGAAGCACAAATATAAAATCTAACAAAAAACAAGGGGAGAAAAAAAAAACAAATTCCTAGGGTGGCAAGATATAATGCAGGAGGTAAATGATCAAAAGTACTTCTAATGAGGATGTATGTGTATGTAAACCTTATCCAATAATGCAATCTATTCCCCTTATCTGGATGAGTGAACATGTGTAACATGCCGCTGATTATTATTGATTCCTTTAATGTAACATCGATCATCTATCAAGCAGTAGTTATACAACTTAAAAGGAATAAACATAAATAATAACTGATAGGCTAGCAATATCATGATGTGATCGAAGAGATTGTGCAGTAGAGAGAGAAAAAGCAGTTTAGGAATGATAATGATGCAGATTCCTGGACCCCTCCAATACTACTGTGTTTAATTTACTCAATAACAGCTAATAATAACACAATGATGTGTGTGTGTCCAAGAATTTGTAATACAGTGGCCACTTTATCTCTTACTATAGTCAATAGAGTACAAATAATACAAGTAGTTGTAAAAAGATAATTAGCAGATGAAGTCACAGAATTATGTACAAAAATTACGGTGTGGACAAAATCTGAGTTTATTGTTGTTGTTGATCTGGTCTATCATCAAATGTTGTCATTTTTCTCTTGGCAAAGGAGTTAATCTTCGCATTGCCCTAGTAGCAAAGTAGTTCTGATCTCTCATACAAGAGAGGTGTAGGATTTTATCCCCATATGATCAGTTTGGCCTTCTTTCCCATTAAATACTATCCACGGTCCTAAATATAAAAGCCAGTTAGCAGTCCTAAATATATAATATTTTAATTCACTTTGTCTCTAAAGTTTACAATATGTTCTAAAAGATATCCCTATTGATTTTAAGGTATTTTCACTCAAGTGTAGTTTTAATATACATGATTAAATAAGGGTAATTTAAGAAAGTCAGCAAACATTTGTTATATATAATTAACATAATTAATTTCATTAAGTTTTCTAAATTGGTTATTTAGCTCTTATATTAAGGGCTGGAAAGTAGGATAAAAGTCTAATGATACGAAAGACGGTCTAAAAGGTACTAATATGGAATCAAAGTACCCCAATTCCAAGCCTACAATTTTGAGGTTAAGCAAGCTATGTTTAAGATGATAAATATTATTTTTCTTATGAAAATGCTTCTTTTTACAGCAGAAGATACAATAGATTGAGAGTGAAAAAAGATAGAAAGAATCAATACTAGGGTTGTCAAATCAGGGTAATTCCCCAAAATTCCAAATATGATCACAATTAATTTTGCCGATTGTCGACAAAAAAGGGGCCTAAAATAAGAATTTCTGTGCGAACAAATAAGTTTCGAAAGGGGAAAGAAGTTAATGTTACTCGGTTCGGTCTACAATATAGGATACTTCATAATATGCATAACTTATACTACATTTATTAAGCAAATTCTTTTTTCTCTCTAAATCTTATAAAATTGACTTAATTTTTTAGTTTCATTTTTATCTGCAACTAACATTATCAATTTTTCATGCATCGGATTCGGAGTGAGTACTTTCTAATCGTATTGCTTTTCTTTATGTGGGCGTTCAGTTATAGAAGATGTGTTTGATAAACTGTGCAAGTATGAAAAATGAAGAGTTGGGTTGCTAATTAACAAGAAGTGGGGCAAGCAGGAGAGATTCGAGAGGGGAGGGCATATATGGGGAGATAAGGCAAACACAGCCGAAAGTTGAGGGGAGAGGCAGAGGGAATGTGAGAGTTTTTGTGGGGGATGAAAAGTGCATGGGCTTCATCAATGGATAATGGTGGAATAATTTTGAACGTGAAAAAAGAACCAGGATAAATATATATTTTATATATATATATATAAAATTCTCATCCATATATAACATAACATTGAAGGTAAAAATAGCATAAATGATAGATACTTGAAACTAATAAAAAGCAATTCAATATATGTCAAAATCTAATTATTTATTTGTAGTACTACAAGAGAAGAAATTGTGGGAAATCAACTAGCTATATGTGTGTGTATATATATATATATAAATATATAAATATATATGTATATAGATCAAGCACTATTGTTTGCACTTGATGGGAAGAAATTAAACTTGAACAGGGTGGAAGTGAAAGTGAAACTATACGTCTCTCCTCTTAATTAATGGTTAATTGAAGGAATAATATCAGAGTTTGTGAGTTTTTAATTGGCATCATGTCATTTGATGAGTCTTGCCTCAAATGACAGGTACTCTCTTATGGGATCATGTATATATATCTTTATTGTGTTAGCATAGGAAGAAAAATTTTCTGGAGATTTCTTTTAAGAAAAATAATAATTATTACAAATAAGTTTTAAGTATGCAAATTAATTACTCACAAATTTTCTAAATTATTTGACTTATTACCAATTAGTCTGTTGGAGAACTTATGCAACAATATACAGAATAAGTTGTAAACTTTAAATTCTGATTTGTAAGTATTAGCATTATATATAGGAGGATTTCTAGTTAGCATATGCCAAAGAGTGTTGCAAATAAAAATTTTACAAGTAGTCCTCAAGTTTTATTCACGAGTCAAACTTAAAAATGTACAACTTATCATTTGTAATTTTAGTGGTATTTGTTTTATGCTCACTGAATATTTAATTAACTAATTTGGTTTTTTGAACAAGAAAATTATTGTGGTTAGATACACAAGGAGTTGATGCGTCTTATTATAAGACTCGTCATTAAATTGACAGATCTTATATTTATTATTTCTAATTTTCAGAATATACCACCTCCGGTTTTAATTATAAGATCTTGTTTATAGTTTACAAACAAGGTCTTATAAATAAGACCAGAGATAGTATTATGTTTTGAAAGTTTTTAAGAAGGGATGCCTGGTGCCATGCATGCCTAAAACGAGGGAAAATGTTATCAATAATGCATTTAGGAATCATGGGTGAGCTAGGAAAATTTCCCAGTACAGATTGGACAGCATAAACGTCCAGTCCTTCAAGTTTACTTATATCTCCCAATTTATTCTTATCTCTAACTTTATGAAATTACATCTAACATTTTAAACCTTGATCTTTCATTTTAATTATATGCTACCCATCTCTTATACTTAATATAAGAGTTAGATAATTAATTTTAAAATATTATGAAAATAAATTAAGTTAATTATTTAAATAAATATCCTTATTAATTAATCATGTGCATTAGAATAGAGACTTATTAACAAATGTAATCACTATTGAGACTACTTTGGGGGAAAATGAATAAATATAAGAGATAAATGGATTGAGATTTTATATTTATAATCAAATTAAATTTTTAGTTAATTCTTATATTTAAAATAGGAGGTAGTATATTACATAACTCATGAGCTAGCTTAATTAAAAAAAAAATTAAAAGAATAACTGATAGGCTGGCAATATATATCATGATGTGGTTAAAGAGATTGTGTAGCGAGAAAAAAATTAAAGCAGTTTAGGAATGATAATGGTGCAGATTCCTGGACTCCTCCAATGCTACTGTCTGTTTAATTTACTCAATAATAGCTAACAATAACACAAGGATGTGTGTGAGAGAGAAATTAGAGATAATTAACAGATGAAGTCACAAAATTTTGCACAAAAATTACAGTATGGACAAAGTCTCTGAGTTTATTATTGTTGTTGTTGATCTGGTTTGTCATCATATGTGGTCATTTTTCTCTTGGCAAAGGAGTTAACCTTCGGCAATATGTGTATTTTCCTAGTGGCAAAGTAGTTCTTTTGTACACCAGAGGTGAAGGGTTTTATCCCCATATGGTTAGTTTGGATGACTTTCTTTCCAATTTTGAAAAAAAAAACCAAAGAATAACTTCCTTTTTTTTTTTTTGGTTTTTGCCAGAAAAGGAGTCATTTTTCAAAAATATTTTAACTGGGCAAAACTCTAATGATATGAATTGAAGGAGGAGATCGACTAGAGAGTAGAAAGAAAATTGCTATTTGGGACATTATTTTTTGAATGAAAATGATTTGGTTTTACTATTATTGGAAACTTGAGCTTGAGAACAACTAATTGTTCTATGAAGTATAAGATCCAAATCCAGCTTCGTGCATATTAAACAGCTTGGAAGATTATGTGACCTTGAAAAATAATGATTGTTTCAAGGTGAATTTCTTTTTACAGCTGAAATTCAAATACAATAGATTGAGAGTGAAAAAAACAGAGAGAATCAATACTCTTACATACAACGTCAACACTAGAAACATACTAATAAAGTAATCAATGATAGTAACTCTTTGCACAAATTTAAGAGTTTAAGGGTTGTCAAATCAAGGTAATTAATTTCCCACAGTGCCAAATATTGTTAATCAACATTAATTATTCCGATTGTCAACAACAACGAAAAAGGGGCCTTAAATAAGAATTCCTGTTCAAACGAAGAAGTTCGGAAAGAGGAAAGAAGTTAATGTTACTCGCTTCGGTCTGTAATGTAGGACACTTCATAATATGCATAACTTATTATATATTAAGAAAATTCAATTTGTTTTTCTAAATCTTATAAAATTGACTTAGTTTTTTAGTTTTATTTTTACCTGCAACTAACATTATCAATTTTTCATGTATTGGATTCGGACTGAGTACTTTCTAATGGCATTGTTTTTTCTTTATGCGGGTGTTCAGTTGTAGAAGCTTGCATAAAATAGTAATCTTTTTGGCCAAACCATAAAATAATAATTGATCATTTATAAAGTGAAACCAAGCCACGCATGGGCTCCGAGATTCGATCCCTTTCTCCTTAATCAAGTATCCAGCCCGATGGGCCCACGACGGCCCATTTCAAATTATAAAATGTTGTGAGGAAAAAAAGAGGTTTCATTCATGCGCTTATTATTCCAAAATTAGCCTTCATTAGGTGTCGTTCGATCAAGTACTCCGGTGCATAATTAGTAATTTTTTTAATCATATTTTCCATTTTAACAAACGGATCACATTTTCATAACTTTCCCCATCTCCTTGGATTGACAATGAAAGCCACCCCATCTCCCTAAGAAAGGTGAATATTTGAGAAATATACTTGTTTAAAGGGAGAGTTACAATCAAATCCCATATAAGAGAAATAATAATTAAAAAGTCTCAATAACAATCTGAGTATCCTATAATGACAAGTTTTATAATAGAGAATGACAATTTTTGAAACTTCTTTTGTAATTTTTTTTCCTTTTATAGGATTTGATTGTGTTTCTCTCTTGTTTAAAAGGTTTTAATATTAAATACTTGTGGTTTGATATGAATTATTCTCAAACCAAAGTAATTTATAGATACTATAGATTTATATTAAAAAACCCAAAAAAAGTGTTTGGCGTTTATATTTCAAAAATAAAAAATTATTTTTTGGCCAAAAAAATAAAAAGTTATCATGATACGAAGTAGAAGCATAAATTGTAATAAAAGCAAGCATTAGAATTATGAATCTCCATCAATTTTTACGGAGGGTGGAACTTGTAATTTCACGTTTAAAAGACGCTCGACAAATATGTTTAATTGGATCACAAGGCAGGCTTCAGTATTTGTTGTTCGGTGAAAGTTGGATTACTGAGACAGTATCCTTGAATGCAGCTTTCGGGCGTTCATTAATTTAATCCTAACGGTCGTTTCCATTACGTTTCCCAACTTCCCCGCGTAATCTAGAATCAATCACTGTATCTTCTTACAATGACCTCACACACAAGAAGACAACTTCTGTTAAGCGCTAACGTGAGCATCCTTCCTCGCCTCGTGTCTGTACTATGCTGTGCATGTTTTCTCTTTCTATCTGCTTTCCTGCTTCCAGCTCACGCCAATATTAACTCATCATAAAGTGTGGCTTTTCCACTGCCATGCTCATTTTTCGCAGGCCTAAAGCCAAGTGTTTTCGGTTCGGCGTCGTTTAATGCCTCATTTTCTTTTTCCTCTGCTGTCTCTGCAGCCAAATCAAACGAGTGTATCTTTGATTCACTTTTTCTGGGATTCAGAGCTTCTTCAGGTAAAGCTTTCTCCACACATTCAGACATTATTTCCTTTTCCGTACTTCGTCCTCTTTACGGTTGCTTCTTCATCATTGTTGCTTTTTTCAATCATAAATAAACTTTTCCAGGATAACGTGGACTACCTTTGTGGGGCTTAATTATTAGGGCTCTTTTTGGACCCTCCTTTTGTTTCTTGTTCACTCAGTGTTTGGCTGATTCTCAAAGATGTTTGGGTTCTCTCGTCGGCGTATGAAACTTGGGAGGTGAATCATTGTTTTCCATTTTCTTTGTATTCTAAACTCTGCTTTCGTATGCTCAAACGAAAGAGACATCTCAGCTGTTAGATTTTCATATTGTACAAACATTTGAAATTGAGACGAAAGCATAGATAGTTGGTGAGGTTATGTTGTTTTTTTCAATTACATTGTTGCCTCAGATTAAAGGCCCAGCTTTCCGACACCCCTCAAGGTACTAGAAGTCCTATAAGGCAACCCAAGCGAAGCGGCAACCCCAATGTAAGCTTCGCGTCCTCATTCCTTGAAGGTTCACTCCATTATGTGCTCTAATATGTATTTGGACATGAAGCAAGAACAATATTCCACTGATGATATGCAACATTAAACAGAAAATAAAAAGGATTCAAAACATTCACAAACTCAGATTATCAGCCTGTTTTATTCTTTTTCCAGCAAGTTTAAAAGCAAGCCTGAATTCCTCAAAACAAAGTAAAGAATAACTTTCATTATAGAAGGGGCTTATATCTTATATCTTCCCCATCTCCTTCCTAGGAATACCAGCTAAACCCTACACCTGTAAAGATAGTTCTCCGTTGCTGAGTATCCAAATGACTTCAGAAGAGGAAGAGACACAGTTATTAAATGAACCCTTAGCTCCCTGGGGGACCAAGCTACATTAATTTGGTTCTGATTCTATCAACAAACCTGAGGAAACAAAGAAATAATATCCTTTGCAGTCGATCCCAGTTCTGCTAAAGCTGTGATTGCCTCAGTTATGAAAGGACAATGCCTGCCAGAAAGAAATTCATCAAGTTTGATTTTAAAGCCAATAATATCATACCCTATCTATAAAAGAAATCACGTGCAAGTAGGAAGAACTAAAAAATTACAAGTCAGTTCCATGAGTTCATGATGTATTTGGTACTATCAAAAAATTAAACAAGCAATTAATTTGGTCAAGAGAATTTCGCTTGACAAACCTTAGACATTCTTTGTAAATTGCAACAGCAGCTCGATTATGTCTAGAATTTCTATAAAGCTTTGCCATTAACAAATTCATCTGCAAATTTCTGGCTTTGCTTGGAATTCCTTCCATCTGTAATATGCAAGTGACAATAATTAGTGAAATATGAATGAAATAGTAACAAAATAAGAATGTATTAAAAATTATAACTCATAATGGCATAGCATTTTTCCCATTATAAAGTGCGCCTTATAAGTGAACATATACAAAGCAACATCATTTACAGCATTTCATCGTCATCTTGAATCCCTTCCCAAGTAGAATGGAAGATAGGAAGAGAACATACAAACCTCCACAAGAGCTGCCTTATTTTCATTCAGGGAAAAATGGCATGTCCGATTTTGAACTTCACCTATTACATCGATATTGAAAAAGGGGCAAAATTAATTTGGACATACGATATTTTAAAAGTTTTTATAAATGCACTCCAACTAAGATCAACTAAAATCGAAGGGAAGTAAATTACTCACCTCATTTTCATTGATTGCTGATACATTGTAAGAATTTGGAGAAGACGACCTGTTTGATGACAGTGAACTCCGGGATGAGGGAGTGTTTTGTTTGGGGATCATCTTGTAGTATTGCAGAGCTTGCTTGTAGTTGTGCTGCTCAGCAACAGAAGAGATTAAGAGACTTCAATACTAAAATACACACCCCAATTTTTGGAGGGAGGGATCACTTACAATGGCTCTGCGATACTCCCTTTCGCGGAACAACGAATCACCAAGAAGCGCCTGCAAAAGAAGAAAAGTGCCAACTTCAACGACCTCTTGGAGACGGGAAATTTCATCGCAATGCAATGAAAACAAAAATAGACAGAAAGGAAAATATGAAACAAAATTGAAATCTCCAGAGACCTGGCTCTCGGCTTTGAGGTGTAGGTTGGTTTCAGCATTAACAGTGGGTGACGAAACAAGAAAACAACCCTGTCCAGATGCAACTTCAGTATTAAACTGTCACCGAAATGAAAAGCAGCGATTCTTTAATTCATAACGTAATTGCAGATGCAGAATCGGAAATTACGAGCATTTGAGCAGAGTCGTAGAGGCCATTCTCGAGAAGAGTGGCGATTTGATCCTTCGGAACCTCCATGATTAATAGTTGGGAGCAGAAAGATTGAGTGCTTCTTACTGAGACTTGTATGAAAACCAAGGGTACCCTGACGCGCTCCTTTTTGAAAACCTCACCTCGTTTGTCCGTTCGGGTTGCAGCAAGCTATAGTAATAATTAAATTAAATTAACCTTAAATTAACCTTTTTTTCCCGACAATTAAATTAAATTAACCTGTTTTCTTACAATGTTAATCAAAATGATACATTGATATACTTCTTTGTTCGGAAACTAATTTTAATTGTTTCATCCAGAATGAAGAAATTTTTGAATTTTTGAATTTTAATTTATTAAAATTTAACAAATTTTCAACGATTTAATATATATAATTATTTTAAGAAAATAATAATATATAAAAATCTATCATAAACATGCTTTCTGAGAAGAATAATAGAAAAAATTACAAATAAAGACCCTCTAATATGTAAAATTGTGATTTCAGATCTTGAATTTGAAAAATAGCTTTAGAGGACCCAGTCCCAAATTGCAAATATGAAATATGGGTGAAATGTCTGAAATGTCCTTAAGCCAAATTACAAGTTGACTATAGAAAATAACAAGTTCACTTTAACAAATGATAATTTCAATAGATAAAATTATAACTTGACTGAGGGTATGCCAAATGATAAGTTGAGTATGAGAAATGACAAGTTCACTTTAACAAATGATAATTTCAGTAGGTCAAATCACAATTTGACTAAGGAGGATTTCAGATATTTCATTAAAATTTCATATTTGCAATATGAGACCGGGTCTTCATTTGATATTTTCCAAATTAAAGGTCCCTAATCACAATTTTACACATTGGGGGTCTTTATTTACAATTTTCATAATAAAATATCTACAGAATATATCAAATAAAGTTATAACTTATGTACTAATAATGAGATATATTAGTCTTTTTGAATCAAAATTATGTAAAGCAACTTTTAATAAGTAGATTCATATGTTTAATAAAATAAATAATTATATACTTATATAATAAATTTGATCAGATGGCTTATATTGAAAAAACATAATTTATCATTTATCTCTCCCCTATAAAAATAACATTTTTCTATTTGGATAGTCCTGATGGCATCTTTTTCTCACGGATGGAAAAAACCTTGGGCCTATTGTCTTGGTTTCTTTTTTGTTTTTGGTACAGCCTATTGTCTTGTCTTATTTGGTCTCTTTGGATTTTTTTTTTAAAAAAATGGGCCTATCGGTTTATAAGTCTCGAGCAACGAACGTCGACATCGTCAGCGGGAGCCCAACTGCTCTGACCGCTGCGAAGTCGGGACTCGGAACCGCCTCCACCGGTCCCCCTTTTGGGCCACTGAACCGCCTCCGACATCGGAGATCGAAGTTTCTGATTTCTACGGTGAACGGGGGATGAGTTATAGTTCTGTCATGGAATCAAATCGCCAGCGAACAAGACGGCGGAGGACGAAGCAGGAGGAGATGGTGAGGGAAGCAATTTGGTCTTCGATTCGGGGGCATTCTTGTCCGATATGTTTCAGAAACCTCGAAGATCATTATAGGGAAGTTGCGATTCTCTCCGTGTGCATGCACGCCTACTGCATCGAATGTATTCGCAAATGGAGTGGCTTGAAAAGAAAGTGTCCTCTCTGTAATGCAAACTTCAGCTCCTGGTTCTGTAAACTCAGTCTTTCCTCTGGAGAGTTCCACAAAGAGGTGTTGCCCTTTGAGGGTTTGACCAGGAATTCTCATCGAGAAAGTGTCTCAGCCCGTACAGCTGCTCCTAGGTGAGTTCATTCTTCTTGCACTAACTTTGTTTTTTATGATTTGATTCTTCTGGCTGGTATTTTCCTCCCCGTTGGGCTGTCGAGGAAGTTAATAAGAGGGACAGAAATTTTTTTTTTTCTTTTTGGGTCAATTTTTATTCCTAATCTTTTGGATTGCTTCTTAAGGAAAACAAGGTCCTTTTATAGAGGTTAATTATTAAATTTGGCAGGTAGCATGTTCTAGATTTTTGCTTTTATCTTCATTGAATGGAATCAATGAATACGTTGTGTGAGATTATCTGTATGGCGACATCACTGAAATTGAACAAACTGAAGCTGACGAATGTGTTTGGTGGTACCAGTTATGTTGTTTGGGAGACCTTTTTTGCCTGGTGAAAAAAGGCTTGAAGCTTAGCACACGCGTTTCAATATGTTTTATGTGATCATGTGCAGACTTATTCGTAGAACAAGAGTTGCTTTAGATGAAAGGCGAACTAGGGCACTACCATGGCGGCGATCATTTGGACGTCCTGGACATGCGAGTCCAGAAGTTGCTGCTCAGAGGAAACTTGATTGGCGTGCTAGGTACGTAGACTTACTCATTATAAATCTATGATTCTGCAATCCTATATATTTTCAGTTACTGTCTCCTTTTTGCCTCTGTCAATAACTTGACTCCAAAGTTTTTGCTAATGTAATTCTTTTCATTCATTAATTGTTTTTACTTGCAGCATATACAAGAAGCATCTGAAGGCTGTTCCTTTAAGCTCTAGCTATCTTGAGCAGGCATGTTTAGTGGAAATATGATGAACACTGGGTTGTTCTTTCGTTTTTATATTCACCATTATTGCAACTTTATGAATGCTTCTCTCTCGTCAGTTACAGAAACTCCTTTGGCAGTTTATATTTTACATGTTGAAGTGCCTTTCTGTGTTGTAATTAGAATATCAGATCCCCCCCCCCCCCAATGGATTTGTTCATTTACTGGCTTTTCTTCCTCTTCCATCTATTGCACCTTATATTTCCACTTCTGCCTCCACATGAAATATGATTACGTTCCTTGGTTAAAAGAGTTTGTCTTGCGCAAAGGCTTAACTTTCGTATTATTAAACCAAGCATTCTCAATTATTTCTCTTCTCTATAACATTAATGTTTTAGTCTTTAATGATGCAATTTTCAGATTAAATCAAGAAATAGTTTTTCAAGAGAAAAAACATTACAAAAGATTGAGCCATGGATACGGAGGGAGCTACAAGCTGTGCTTGGCGACCCAGATCCAACTGTTATAGTTCATGTGGCAACCTCACAGTACCTTGCATGGCTGGAAGAGAGAGTTAGTTCTGGACAGCTTGATGTTGAAGAGAGGTTTATATCACCACTGCGTCCTTTCCTGCAAGATAAAGCCAGGATCTTTTGGCATGAATTAAGGTGCTTACTGCTTAGTTCTTCCCATAAATCCATAATATGATCCAATCTAAGATATTATCGTCGTTTGATTACTTATTTTTCCAACAAAAAAAAAAAAATTGCTTACCAGGTGTTATGCTGAGGGTTGCTACAATATTGAAACATATGATGCTGTGGTTGGATATAGAGACCTGGAGTGAGTGAGGAGAGAATGCCTCTACTACTATTCATCTATCAGTGTGGGAGGATGGAAATTGTGGTGACACATTCTTCCAGAGATCATGCCAAAATAGGAATCTGCTTGTACTTCTACCCAGCCGATTCCTGCTTCTTAAGATGCATTTCATTGGCATTTGCTTGAGAATTCCAGTTGGATGGAAATCGGAGGTCGTGGATCCAATCTGTCTCAGCTACTTCGAAGCCGGCTTCTAGTCTCAAGATCGACCGTCTCTTCAGCTCTTTGTAATCCTCCTTTTCACGGGCGCCTTGTTCTTGGGCCGCGTATTGTCTCCTTTCCTCAGGCTTCATAAGTGCACTTTGCTGCATGAGATAAGAGATATTGGATCATTTACGCGTCCCCTGAATCAGATCGGCAGGAACTAATACTTTTGGTACATTGACAATTGTTGCTGTGGTGATTTTTGTTGTTTAATGAGGATCTAAGCCTTGAACAACTGTACATGATCAATGGATTTGTCGCACCGTTTGTGATACAATTTAATGAATCGTTTTTATTATCGCTGGGTCAGTTTCGTTGATAATTTCCTCTTCGATCGTAAAATTGTAAGGCCACTGGGCAGTTTTTCTTAGGGGTAAGCAAGAAGCCCATAACCCGTTAACCCGCCCATAACCCAATAATTTTTTGCCCATTTAAACCCGCCCAATTAGCCCATGTAGAAGACACTAAACGGGTTGGATTAAATGGGCGGGGCAGCCCATTAAATGGGACGGGCTATGGGCAAGGCATCGGGCTGCCCATACCCGCCCATGTAAGTTTTTTTTTAAAAAAAATATTTTTATTCTTTATTTTGTAGACGGTAGAGTGTAGACCTAGTTTGAGCCTTGAGACTTTGAGTTTCTGCCTTTCAATTTTCATAGATTCTGTCATCTCTCTTTGTTCTTTCGAGCTTCGACCGAACTGAAAGAGTGAAGTGTGAACAACTTCCTCTGCCACTACCACCTCTGCTCTCCGTCTGGCATCTCTGCGTCTATGATAGTGCGATTCAAGTTCAACTTCGACTTCGTCTTTGCTCAGTTACTCTCCATCTGCTACTGTCGTCTTTGCTCTCCATCTGCTGTCGCTGCATCTTGCCATCTTTAAGACTTCAACTTCATCTTGCCGTCCTCGAGATCTGACCAACAATAGAAGCAAAGGTGTTGTCGTGCTGAGTCGCTGGTGTCTAGTAGCTCACTGTTCGGTAAATCTTTCTTTTTGGCTTCTCCCTGTTGAACGATTGTTGGTCGCTGTCTGCCTGTCTCTCTGTTCCTCCATTTTTGAGTTCTGTTAGCTCACTGATAGGTTCCTCTATTGTTGGTCACTGTCTGCCTGTCTCTCTGTTCCTCCATTTTTGAGTTCTGGTAAGCGGTAGCTCACTGTTCGGCAAATGGAGTTTTTCTTATTTCGAACATGAGTCATTGAGTTGTGAAATTTGTAAATGTTACATATAGAAGTTGCATGACTTAAAAGCTTCATATGAAAACTAATATGCCATTTGGTATACAAAATTTATTTACATCTTTCCAAGGTTGCATAAATGCTGAAAAACTAATATGCCCTAGTTTTTCTTTTCTTTTCTTTTCTTTTCTTTCTTAAGGGGAGCTTCTTGGCAATCAACTTTTCCACTATTTTGTCCTGAAACAGTAGGAACTTGTATTGCCTTGGCTCCTAGTCAAATATTAGCCGGATTCAGACGGTAGAAAACCGAATGGCAGTATCATTGCAGTTAATTAAAATAGTACAAACAGATCAAATAGAGAAAGCGTGCAAAATAAAATCTAAATAGAGGTGTTTTATAACGTTGCGAGGGAGTAAACTAGGAATATAATCAAATGTGTAAAGACCAAATGCAGAGAAAAAGCTGAACTGATGGCAAGGGGGAAAAAAAAAGGAAAAGGAAAAAGAAAAGAAAAGAAAAAGTTGAACTATAATGACTGAAATCTTAATCTTCACCAAAAATTAAAAATAACCAATGTGCAAGGACCAATATGCCCAAATCCATCTCTTTCCGCGCAGGGTTTTATTTCCTCGCTTCACTCTCCGGCTGCCGGCGCACACCGCAGATTCCATAGCTAAGATTCCATCACGGGAATCTGTTTCTAGAGTTCCCGGTATCTTTTCTGCCTCTCATTTCTTATATTACTTTCCTATGCTTCCTGCTTTCCCTCCTTTGCCTCTTCGTTCCTCTCCTTTATAAAATATTATCGGGTATGAAGTAGATATAAGGGATTGGATTTTGGAGACACAAGGACCAGTCGAATGCTCAAGGTGTTTCAAGTAAAACTTAGATAACTTTGCTTTTTTTCTTCCCGTTGGATGTTGTCTTTTCATGAGAAAATATAACAGAAATTATTCGCAGGCCAAAAAATATTTTCAATTTGTAGTCTAGCCGAAGAGGACTCAGGTGGGTAAATGCTGATGTCGAGCTGCAATGCATTGGTGTATAGTGTGTGTGAAATGGAAAACATGGTAGTACTGGTTAACTATTAAGATTGCTTCTATGAAGTTCACCATCCTCTTTACGGTGAAAAATACAGGCAGTCAACAAAATGAGATCAACAGTTAAAGTTTCGATAAAGAATAGGCTGATAATTATACGTGAATCTGTGAAAATTAATTCCTTTAGTCTTCTCATTAATGGTTATTTGCTCAGACGTTACCTAAGTTTATTGTGCACTTTATAGGATTGAAATCCAAGCTATTAGCATGGATTTATGCTTTGTGGAATGTCATTGCATATGCATAGGTTTCTGAAAAAGTGGAGGAAGGACTGGGAAGCTTGTAAGGCAACAAGTGTAGCTCAATGGCGTTATCTGAAATAAAATCTGGAGCATTAGTTTCTCTCCAAGAGCTACGACCATCATCTCCATTTTTCAAGGAAGGAGCTTCATTAAGAATTGTTGGAAAGTAAGACTGCTTCCATCTAATAACAATGCATTCGTGACTTTTTCACTTAAAAATCATGTGTGCTTTTGACTTTTCTTATGGCTGCAAATTTCTTTTACCAATATATTGATTATAATTTATATCTAATCCTGCTAATATTCCCCGTGCTTATCTCACACTGCTAGAATACCCTAGTACATATCTTCTTTGGTCTTCCTTGTCAAAGTGTAGAGGAATCCTTATGCTTCTTTCCCTTCTTCTTTTGTTTCTATGGCTGATTTGCTGAGAAACACGTATAAATATGAGCACCAGAAATGGAAGCACAAGATTACTTGCCATTAAGTCAACACATAGGATACGTTGTAACAGAAAACGCCCATTAACTCCAAGTGATAGCATGCAATGAGATGGGGATGTAATATCAACATATATAATAACTTGTAACAATTCACATATTTCTTGCAAAGTTTACTGATATTTTGAACCTCAAAATTCTCTGGTCATACAGGTTGCTGTATATTATCATACATGGTGCTAATATAATCTTATATTGCTGTATGATGAAACTATTGATAGCTTAATCTCCCGTCTCTCCCAGGCTTCATGAATACTCTGTAGAGACTGCCCTAGCAACAGTAATTGACGGTGATGCCACTCTCAAAGTTAATACTCAGCACCTGAGAGACCTTAGCTTCCGAGTTGGCTCTGTCTACCAATTCATTGGTGAGCTCCTCATCCAACCCAATAACAAGGTATGCTCCTGTCAAAATGTGGTTGAATCTCTGCTTCATCTGGCTCTAGCATTCACACTGGGGCACATGGTATGGTTTATGAACACACGTGTTTGCAAACGAGAAGATGATTAACCTTGGTCTTATTTGTTCCTTATTAGGGAGTCTTGCAGGCACGTGTCGGTAGAAACGTTGATGGAATTGATCTCAATCTCTATCATCAATCCTTACTGCTCGTAAGACAGTTTCAAGCTGATCACCCAACTAATCGAACAGAATAACTTTACATGAAGACCCTGCAGAAACAATTTATGACAGTAGACTGGTGGTACATTTTTCTCAGAATTTCAAACAGATGGAAGCTTAGCTCTTAGGCTTTGTTTGGTTGGAGGGTTTTTGAGGGGAGGGGAGGGGATAAGTGTGTTTGGTTGAGAAAAATAGAGGAGAGGAGAGGGAAGAAATTTGTCTTTTAGTGCTCCCCTCCTCTCTTCCATGTTCCCCTCCAAATTTGGGGTTTTTTGCAAGGAAGAGAAATATTATGCTTAATATTGACCGAACTATCCATATTAACTTTTCAATATTCTAAGTTTATCCATCTTATTAAAAATCTTTTTTTCACTTCTTTCTCTTTTTAACCACTAATAATATTTGATAATTATAATATTATAATATATACATATCACATATATTAGTATATACATATCATAACATGTGTGTATGATAATTATAATCTTAGATAACATGCATATATATATATATATATATATATATATATATCATAACATGTGTGTTATAATTATATAATATATACATATCATATATATTAATACATATATTTATAAAATTAATGAGATAGGATATTAAATTTTTTAATCATATATATATTTTTTAGTTTTATCATTTTCTTAATCACATGTAAGTGAGGTGATTGGTTTTTTTAAAAAATTTATAAATTAAGAAATAATAATTTTGACATAAATATTGTAATAAAGAAATAAATCAGTCTAAGTATAGAGATAAGGGCGTATTTGTCAATTTATAATTACCTCTCATCTCCTCTTCTTATGAACCAAATAAGAAATCTCTCCTTCTCTCCCTTCTCCTCCAACCAAACAGAACCATGACCTCCCTTCTTCTCACCTCCTCTTCATTTAATTAACCTCCCCTCCCCTCCCCTCCACTGAATGAAACAAAGCCTTAGATTATTCTTAATGTAGTGTATCTTCACGCATCAGAACTCGTAATGCACTTTTTTTTTGGTGGGGGGTGGTTGCGGATAAAGCCTGAAACATAGTAGTCAAGAGAAATTACACTTTTTAGATGTTTATCTAAAATACTTGACTCTTAAACGCCTCAATTATAGTTTATGCGTGTCTTTTTCCCCTTTTCCTTACCCTCGTGTCTTCAAGTAGGATGTGAGGACGTAAAGGAATGGCTGTTACATGTGCGCTAGAAATGGCCTTGTTAGCTCCACGGTTCCAGTGAAACTATAGGATAAACTGAATGGCGGCCTTAGTTTAGGTTCTACAGCTGAACGCCCGCATAAACAAAAAGCAATGCCATTAGAAAGTACTCAGTCCGAATCCGATACATGAAAAATTGATAATGTCAGTTGCAGATAAAAATATAAGTAAAAAATTTTAGAAAAACAAATTGAATTTTCTTAATATATACTACTTCTCATCCTTAATACAAGACTTTGTTTGATTTTTATTTTAGTCCTAAATATAAAACCCAAATCCACTTTGTCTTTTATATTTATATTTTTTTCCCCAAAGTAGTTTTTTTAATAATAATAGTTCTAGCTAATACACTTGATTAGCAATGATATTTTAGAAAAGAAAACACCTATTTATTACAAATAACTAAATTAATTTATTTCTTCGATCTTTTCAAATTAGTCAACTAACTCTTATAATTAGAATCAGAGGCAGTAATAAGTTATGCATATTATGAAGTGTCCTGCGTTATAGACCGAAGGGAGTAACATTAACTTCTTTCCTCTTTCTGAAATTCTTCGTTCGAACAGGAATTCTTATTTAAGGCCCTCTTTTGTCGTTGCTAACAATCGGAATAATTAATTTTGATTAACAATATTTGGCACTTTGGAGAATTAATTATCTTGATTTGACAACCCTTAAACTCTTAAATTTGTGCAAAGAGTTACTATCGTTGATTACTTTATTAGTATTTTTCTAGTGTTGACGTTGTATGTAAGACAAGAAGAAAACATTTGGCGTATTGATTCTTTCTTTGTTTTTTTCACTCTCAATCTATTGTATTTTAATTTCAGCTGTAAAAAGAATTCACCTTGAAACAATCATTATTTTTCAAGGTCATATAATCTTCCAAGCTGTTATTGACCCCAAAAAAAAAAAATCTTCCAAGCTGTTATAATATGCACGAAGCTGCATTTGGATCTTATACTTCCATAGAACAATTAGTTGTTCTCAAGCTCAAGTTTCCAATAATAGTAAAACCAAATCATTTTCATTCAAAAAATAATGTCCCAAATAGCAATTTTCTTTCTACTATCTAGTCGATCTCCTCCTTCAATTCATATCATTAGAGTTTTACCCAGTTAAAATATTTTTGAAAACTGACTCCTTTTCTGGCATAATAAAAAAAAAAACCAAAGATTAACTCTTTTTTTTTTCTTTCCAAAATTGGAAAGAAAGTCATCCAAACTAACCATATAGGGATAAAACCCTTCACCTCTGGTGTACAAAAGAACTACTTTGCCACTAGGAAAATACACCTATTGCCGAAGGTTGACTCCTTTACCAAGAGAAAAATGACCACATTTGATGACAGACCAGATCAACAACAACAATAATAAACTCATAGAGACTTTGTCCATACTGTAATTTTTGTGCAAAATTTTGTGACTTCATCTGTTAATTATCTCTAATTTCTCTCACACATATATCCTTGTGTTATTGTTAGCTGTTATTGAGTAAATTAAACAGACAGTAGCATTGGAGGGGTCCAGGAATCTGCACCATTATCATTCCTAAACTGCTTTAATTTTTCTCTCGCTATACAATCTCTTTAACCACATCATGATGTTGCCAGCCTATCAGTTATTCTTTTAATTTTTTTTTAATTAAGCTAGCTCATGATTTATGTAATATACTACCTCCTATTTTAAATATAAGAATTAACTGAAAATGTAATTTGATTATAAATATAAAATCTCAATCCATTTTATCTCTTATATTTATTCATTTTCCCCCAAAAAAGTCCAATAGAGATTACATTTGTTAATAAGTCTCTATTCTAATGCACATGATTAATTAATAAGGATATTTATTTAAATAATTAACTTAATTTATTTTCATAATATTTTAAAATTAATTATCTGACTCTTATATTAAATATAAGAGACGGGTAGCATATAATTAAAATGAAAGATCAAGGTTTAAAATGTTAGATATAATTTCATAAAGTTAGAGATAAGAATAAAAGGTTTAAAATGTTAGATATAATTTCATAAAGTTAGAGATAAGAATAAATTGGGAGATATAAGTAAACTTGAAGGACTAGACGTTTAAGTTACAGATGCAAAGAGTATTATTAATAATGCATTTAGGAATCTACTTATCTAAATAAAATCTTCCAATACAGACTGGATAGCATGAACGTCTAGTCCTTCAAGTTTACTTATATCTCCCAAGTTATTTTTATCTCTAACTTTATGAAATTATATTTAATATTTTAAGTCTTGATTTTATTTACTTTTGTTTTAATTATATACTTCCCACGTTCTGTTCTTAATATAAGAATTAGATAATTAATTTAAAATATTAAAAAAAAAGTTAAGTATCTGTAATAAATATGAATTGTCTTTTCTTGAATATATATTCTCATTAGTTAATCTTCTGCGTCAAAATAGATACCTATTAACAAGAATAATTACTATAGAGTACATTTTGAGAAAAAATAAATAAATATGAGAAACAAAATGGATTAAAATTTTATATTTATGATCAAATTATATTTTTAACTAACTCTCATATTATCTCCAGTTCTATTTACAAGATCTCATTTGTAAACTATAAATAAGATCTTATAATTAGGATCCAGGTAGTACGTAGGACTGGAGGTAGTATATTACATAACGCACAAGCCAGTTTAATTAAAAAAAATAGATAATGAATAATTAATCCTACAGTTGTGTCTCCTTCGTGAGCTCACAAGGCTCCTTGGCTATATAAGTTGCGATGCTACGGTTCGTCAATGAATTGATTTTGATGTGTGACATATGAATATATATATAATTATCACAAACAAATTCCATATTCCTCCTCCAACTCGCCCCATTCGCATCTTATCTCAATGCACATCAATTGGGCCCTACATTAATATGCTTGCAAGAATAAAGGGCTTGATTATGCCACACACTTTGAATATTGAAAAAGAATTAAAAGAAGAAGAACATGTTTTTCCTTACTTCAAAAATTAACTACATGAACATTAAAGATTCGCATGGACAACGAAAGGTCCGAAATAAAGGCAACTGGCGTTTGATTTGATTGGGTTCTTCTAGAAATCATACCAAGACAAAACAAATCCGATTCATACACACACATATATATATATATATGTGCATGCATGAACTTGATCTTTCAAGGATCTTTTTTTCATCATGGTAATTAGAAAATTTAATTCAAAGATTAAATTAAAATCTTAAGCAATATATATATTATATTCTTAATTGTTAAATTAATCCACTTAGTGAACAAGGAATGATTCCAGTTCTTTTTTATAAATTCATTTCTTAGGACTAAATTGAAATTTGTTGTGTAAAATCTGTTACCATAAATATTTGATTTTGAACCCATAATAATTAACTTGGGTGTTCATAATTGTAAATCGACACAAATTAAGAAATTAATTAATTAATGTTGCTGTGCCCAGGCCAGATAACTATACACATAGTTCCTAATCGTGGCCTTCAACTGTATATCAAAGGTTTTTACTCATATTTCCCTTTCTGGAATTAGATGCCAAACATCTCTCAACACCAACTGGATAAATTCATCTTTAAATTTATATTCCAAAGCAGCAGATGCCTCATATATAGATAAGGAATAAACCAGAAACCACACAATATTTTATTAGAAAGCTAAATTGTGACACGAAATAATATAAACCACATATACACACTATTAAGTAGTCTTAATTATAAGACTTCATTTGAGACTATAAACGAGATTTTATAATTAGGATCAGAGATAGTATTACCAATTTAGCATGATTTCAGGCGCATGACCTCTCCATTGAGACACCCTCTCCATTTCCCTCCACTAACCCAAAACTACGTCGTTCCCCACCTGCCCACAAATCGACTTCTTGTAATTCTCCTCCACGTAGTCCAGCGATGCTGTTTGCAGAGCCCTGATGTTAAATAAATGATAAAAACAACTCACTCAAACAAGAAAAATAAATCAGATATCTCTTTCTGTCTTCCTTCACACATACTCCTCTGGTTCTATTTATAGGGCAGAAGAGAAGGTTTTTTTGGTCCTATTTATAAGTCACTTTATTAAATTTTTACTATGAATTTACCATGTTGTCCTTCATTTATTATAGTGTAGATAGTTTTTTTTTTTAAAGGAGTATATATTAAATAGGGGTAAAGTTGGAAAGTTGTTATATTTTAATGAAGAGTTAATGCAGTTTAAGGTTTTCCTTAGTCTATATGAAACTTGTTGGAAGTGCCTTATAAATAGGACCAGAGAAGTAACGCAGTCCTTATATAGCCTCTGATGATTGCCTCTTTTTTGTTAAGACTACTCTATGTGTAGTCTGAAATTGTATAAATAACTCACGAGGCTTGTCATAGCTACCGTAGTGGCGCTGTTCTTTCTATTCCTCCATTGCTGTTTCTCAGTCCATATATGTGAAGGAAGACTAGAAGAGATCTCTGATTTTTTTTCCCTTGTTTGAGTGAGTGTCTTTTTTTTTGCTTTTGTTTTTGTTGTAAGGTCAGGCCACTGCAAAACTGGACCCAGTGGAGGGGAATACAAGAAGATGATTGGTGGAGAGGTGAGAAACGACGTAATTTTGCGTTAGTGGAGGGAAATGGAGAGAATGGCTAAGTGGAGAGGTTCCGCGCCGCCATGATTTCCAGATTAATTCCAAGTTCCTCAAATTTCCTTTTTTGTATATATTCTGTGTATTCATTTCAGCGCAATTCAGATGCTCTTCGTAAGGAAAATATGAGAAAGAGAAATAAATTAAAGTATGTACTATTCTCACTCTTTCATGTTACTTTTTCTTAATCAGCTCCATGAGTTAATCTGATTATCGATCCCAATGCGAGCGAACTTGAAATATTCCAATAAAAATGAAAGGTTGTAGGATTGCAAACGAAAAAGAAAAAGCTAGTAGAAATTAACGTGACATAAAACATGATGATATCTCGTACGAAGAATCACATGCACAATAAAAGTTAAAACAAAAAAAGAGATCGAACAACGAAGTGACACACACACACACACTCTATATAATATGCAAGAGAATATTTTATATATATATGTATATATGATCTAATTTGAATCCGCCGTACAAGCATACGTGTTTGTTTTCGTATGGCATGGATCGATTCGCTACTGTTGATTAGTCCTTTCAACAAATCATATGTCTAAAAGAAAAAAATTAAAAAAAACCGATTGGTTTTTAAATATCTAAACCGAGCATTCTCTCTAGCTCATCTCCACCTCAAACGCCATATCTTCTTCTTCTTCTTCTTCAGTCTTCCCTAAAGCTCCAAAAACCCTACCCCTCTTTCTCAAAACCCCTATATAAACCTCTTCCACTTGCTTCACTCCTCATCTCCATCACACCCCACAAAACCCTAACAAGAACCTAAGTGCACTTTCTTCTCTTACTTCCCGCTTCAACATAATTTCAGCTCGATCCGAAGACAACTTCTGATCAATCTGCATTATATTGTTGCCCCTTCTTCAACCTACCTATCAGATTATATATTTGGAAGCTGAAAGGCAGAAATGGAGAGTGTGAGGAACATGGCATCAGAGAGACCAGTGGTGATCTTCAGTAAGAGCTCATGTTGCATGTGTCACACTATCAAGACCCTCTTTTCTGATTTCGGAGTGAACCCTATGGTTCATGAGTTGGACGAGATGCCAGCAGGGAGGGAGGTTGAGCAAGCCCTTTTGAGACTAGGGTGCAGCCCGGCCGTGCCGGCGGTGTTCATCGACGGCGAGCTAGTTGGTGGAGCCAATGAAGTAATGAGCCTTCACCTTAACCGTTGCAAGTCAAAGATAGGATATTGCCAGATATTGTGAGATATAATGTGATATGTAAATATTATAGAGAGAGAGAGAGAGTATAAAATCAGTTAGAGGATAATGTGGGATCCTTGATATAGACTCTCGAATGGGCTCTCGAATATGCTCCTGTATATATATGTTTTCTATCACCATGAAATAACACACACTTCTTCTGCGCTTTCATATTTTTCATGGTACCAGAGTAGAGGTCCACAAAAAAAAAATACAGAGCTTAGGTTGCTGAGCCGCACAAGATGACAGATTCATCATCCAAAACCAGTTCGGTCGACGCCATGTCACCATATTTTATCCATGCCTCTGATAGTCTAGGCCATGTCTATGTAGGAGAGCTCCTCAATGAGAGCAACTACAGTGAATGGGTGAATGATATGAGCAATGCCCTCTTTGCGAAAAACAAGATTGGGTTCGTTGATGGAACAATCTCAATGCCAGCTGCGGACTCCGCTGACTTGAACCTTTGGCTGCGTTGTAATGCCATGGCCATTGGGTGGTTGAAGAGTGCAATGAGTAGGGAGGTCCGAGGTAGTGTCAGGTATGCCAAAACTGCACGAGAGATCTGGGTTGATCTTGAGGATAAATTCGGCAAAGGTAGTGTACCGCGAGCATATGAACTGTGACGAGCTGTCGCACGCATGGTGCAGGACAAGCAATCGGTGCCCACCTTCTACAACAAGTTGAAGAGCTACTGGGACGAACTCGACTCCATAGCTCCATGGCCGAAGTGCTCCTGCGGTGGTTGTAAATGTGATCTGCAAAAACAATTGATGGAGATGAAGGAGCGAGAACATCTTTATGATTTTCTCATGGCTCTTGAGGACTCCTATGCAACCATTAAGACACAGATCTTAAGCATGAAACCCTTGCCACGATTGGGAACATCATATCATTTGGTTGCAGAGGATGAGCAACAGAGGCAAATCTCTACCACACAGAAGCAGGGCATTGAGGCGGCAACGTTCCAAGTACAAAATAACCGTAATGATCATAAGAAGGACAGACCAAGATGCAACCATTGCAACAAGCTTGGTCACACTAAAGATAAGTGCTACGACTTAGTTGGCTATCCTAGTGATTGGAAGAAAGGGAGCCGAGAGAGGCGGGATCGACGGGGTGTACCCAAGGCAGCACAAGTGAGCGATGAAACAAGCCCCATACCAGGTCTTACCGCCGATCAATACGACAAGCTCATCCAATACTTGAGTTTAGACTCCAAGAATACCAAGGCGACAAGCAATCAGGTTCAACCCACGGCAAACATGTCAGGTATGTTGTGGGACAATGGGCCATGGATCATTGACACCGGGGCTTCAATTCACATTACACATGACAGATCTATGTTGACCAGCCTACGAAAGTCTATCTCACCACCAGTAAATATACCTAATGGACAAAGAGTTCTTGTAAAAGGAATTGGGAGTGTCATGCTTTCCCCAAAAATGAAAATTGATGATGTCTTATATATTCCAGATTTCAAATGTTCTTTATTCTCAGTTAGCCGATTCACTAAAGACTAAAACTGTGTGGTGATTTTTCTTGTTGACTTTTGTGTTATTCAGGACTTGAGTTCGAGGAACCTGATTGGAGTGGGTAGATGTCGAGATGGACTTTACTACTTGATGCCATTGCAAAATGCAGGGGTGGCACTTGTTGCTCAAAATGGTGAAACAAGTAAATTGTGGCATTCAAGGCTTGGTCACGCTTCTCTTGATAAGCTGAAACAAATTCCTTTTTGTTCTCCTTTGTTTAAGAATAACATTGGTTTTTCTCATTGTGATTCTTGTATTCGAGCCAAATAAACTCGGTTTCCTTTTGGTGAAAGTTCAATAAAATCCAAGTCTTGCTTTGATTTAATTCACTATGACATATGGGGAGGCTATCACACCCCCTCGCTTAGTGGAGATCATTATTTTTTGACTATAGTTGATGATTACAGTAGAGGTGTTTGGGTCTACCTAATGAAACATAAGTCTGAAACAAGCCATTATCTTCAATCGTTCATCAACATGATTGCCACACAGTTTGAGAAAAGGGTCAAGCAAATTCGTGTTGATAACGGAGTTGAATTTCAATCACATGAAATGCGTGTGTTTTATGCAGACAGAGGAATTGTTCTACAGACTACATGTTTTCACACACCTCAGCAAAATGGCGTAGTTGAGCGGAAACATCACCATTTGTTAGAGATTGCATGAGCTTTACGTTTTCAAGCTCATTTGCCTATCTGCTTTTAGGGGGAGTGCATCGTAACAGCAGCCTACATCATTAACAGGTTGCCCTCGAAAGTCCTCAATGGCAAGACCCCCTATGAAGTCTTATTTCAAAGGCGTCCCAATTATAGTCACATGAGAGTTTTTGGTTGTCTTGTTTATGCACGCCATGCGATAAATACTGACAAAATGGAGGAACGTGATCGTGGTTGTGTCTTTCTCGGTTACCTAGCTGGGAAGAAAGGATACCTTCTCTATGATCTTAAAGAACATTGGTGCTTTGTGTCTCGGGATGTTACTTTTGTTGAGAATGAATTCCCATTTGCTACGATAGGCGTGTCACCTCCACATCAGTTGGTGACATGTCATCATGCAGTGACCAACCACATAATGACAATCAAAGCGAACCACTGGTGCCTCTTCGTCGTAGCCAACGAAGTCGCACTCAACCATCACGACTTCAAGATTATATCACTGACTTGCCTGCTTCCATTGCCCCCCCGGCTACACCATCTCACACTCCCACTCCATCAAGTGCCTCGATAACGTACCCCATCTCCCAATACATCACTTATGATCAATTTTCTGCCTCACACAAAGCTTTTCTTTCGGCCATTGATTCCAACGATGAGCCTAAGAACTATTTCCAGGCACGTCGCTATGCTCACTGGAGTGAAGCAATGCAGAAGGAAATCACTGCCCTAGAGGCAAATGGTACATGGGAGTTGGTTCCTCTCCCACCCAGTCAACATGTTATTGATTCAAAGTGGGTGTTTAAAACCAAATACTTACCTTGTGGAAAGGTAGATCGCTACAAAGCTCGGCTAGTTGCTCGTGGGTTCACTCAAATTGAAGGTCTTGACTTTCATGAAACTTTTGCTCTCGTTGCCAAGTTGGTCACTGTTCGTTGTTTACTCACTATGGCAGCAAAACGCAGCTGGTTCGCCTGTCAACTCGATGTCAACAATGCTTTTCTTCACGGCGACCTTGATGAAGACATCTATATGCGTATTCCTCAAGGGTTCGTGTGTGAGGGGGAGACACGTGTGTGTAAATTGAAAAAGTCCTTATATGGGCTTCGACAGGCTTCTCGCAACTGGTATCACAAATTTACTCAGGCACTTGTTGGTATAGGCTTCCGTCAAAGCAAGGCCGACCACTCATTGTTCCTTTTTCGTACCACCACATCCTATGTTGCTTGCCTCATTTATGTCGACGATGTGATGTTGGTAGGCAACGACGAAGGAAAATAGAGGAGATGAAGAAGTATCTTGACCGAAAGTTCAGCATTAAAGACCTTGGCAGACTTAAGTATTTCCTTGGCATTGAAGTTGCACGCTCTCCACAAGGTATCATCTTAAGCTAGCGAAAATACACGCTGGACATCTTGAGAGAGACAAACATGGTGAATTGCAAACCAAGTGCGTTCCCAATAGAGCAGCACTATAAATTGCAAAGCAGTGAGGATGATCCGAAAGTAGACCCTGGACGCTACAGAAGGCTAGTTGGTAAGCTTCAATACTTGACAGTGACATGCCCAGATATAGTGTATGCTGTTAACGTGTTGAGCTAGTTCACATCTGACCCAAAGCATCCACAAATGCATGGTAGCGGTGGAGAGAGTACTGCGTTACTTGAAAAGCACCCCGAGACAAGGCATTGTGCTGCGAGCTGAAGGAAGTCTAGAGCTCGAAGCATACTGTGATGCCGATTGGGGAGGTTGCCTGTTGATGCGACGATCGTGTAGCGGGTACTTCATGACACTAGGAGGGTCGCTAGTGTCTTGGAGAACAAAGAAGCAAAATGTGGTGGCAAGGTCGTTAGCTGAGGTAGAATATAGAGCAATGGCATGTGCTGTGAGTGAAGTCATTTGGTTACGATGGTTGCTGAGTGAATTAAAAGCACCACAAAAGGGAGCAACACCACTCTACTGTGATAACCAAGCGGCGTTGCATATAGCTATGAACCCAGTTTTCCACGAACGAACCAAGCATGTGGAAATGGACTGTTATTTTGTGAGGGAACGATACCAATCCGGTGAGATAATGCCAAGAAAAATCTGGACCAAGGATCAACTCCCCGATATGTTTACAAAGGCTCTTGGCAAGGAAAGATTGGAAACTCTTACAGGCAAGTTGGGCATCGCCGACTTACATGCACCAACTTGAGGGGGAGTGTTAGAAGTCAAAGATAGGATATTGCCGGAAATTGTGAGATATAATGTGATATGTAAATATTATAGAGAGGGAGTATAAAATCAGTTAGAGGATAATGTGGGATCCTTGATACGGACTCTCGAATAGGCTCTCGAATATGCTCCTATATATATATATATGTGTTTTCTATCACCATGAAATAACACACACTTCTTCTGCGCTTTCATATTTTTCATTAACCGATCCTTGATCCCAATGCTCAAGCGAGCAGGTGCTATTTGGGTTTGAAATATATCATACAAAAACCAATACATATGCAATATGCGAGGACTATATTTATATAGAGATATATTTATATAGAGCTTGTCTTATATATAATGTAATAATTATAATAATTAAGGCTGACCTGACTGCGAGCCTTTTTTTTTGGCGTTGTAATACGAAGTGTGGGTTCAAATATTTTGAGATTTCAAGGTAAAAATAATAGGTTATATATATATATATATAAATGGTTCATCAGCATTTTCACAAGCTACTTCAGATTAATTTGATGATAATTACCCTCTAATCTCATAAAGAGAAGAGATTTAAGGAGGAAGCAAGTGTCTTCAGATAACTAACAAGAAATTAA